TGTCAATTTCAAGTGCTATTAAATATATTTCAGAACAGGAACTATGTCATCGAGACGTCAAAATTGCTAACATACTCGTGAAGGAAATTACTGATTCTAATATTTATGTAGTATTGACAGACTTTGGAGTATCTTTTAAGAAAAACTCATACAAGCCCTACCAATTCAAAACTGGAACTGAGCAATATTACGATCCAGAAATTGAAAAATACTTTAACACCGAAAAAAGAGGTTTACTAGAGTTTCCTTTCAAAACTGAAACTGATTTGTACGCCCTAGGTGTAACACTTGAACGATTATCCAACAAAACCACTATCAATAGTACTCCTCTTTTGAAAGAAATTATTACTAGTCTTAAAAATTCAACTCTCCCAACAAGAATGAAAATGATGAATGTATTGGCTGATATTTCACTTGCAACTACCATAGCATTTAAAGATCCAAAAAACAGAACGCAGTGGGATAAGTACTTGCATGCTTGTGTTATGAACCCAAATTGTTTAAAATTTTGCCCTTACAACAAAAATAAGCGCTTTATTTACAAAGTATTGGATAACAATCACCGTATTTTCGAAATGGTTCCTGACGATTTGTTGGATGAAAATATAGTTAGAAAGTCAATAAGAGATGTCAGATCAGTATTAATATTTCAAAACAGAAATAAGGCTTGCATAGATAAGTTTAAGTCCTTAATTTCACAACTCATAGACGTTCATGTGCTTAGAAATGTACAATATAATACAGGAAAGAGAATCCAGATAGAGATGGAAAAGTTAAGCGAGAGTCAGTTGGAAATATTAGTAGAGTATGACTCTCTATTTTTTAATTACTTTCCTTTCAAGTACAAATTTAATAGAAATATTGTATTTTCATTCATCAAAAAAGTGGAAGAATGTTTCCAGCATTGTAGTTACCGAGATGATGAAGAAATAATTCAATATGTACTAGAGAAAAATCCAAAGTTTATCACTGACATCAGTTCAGATGAGTTAAGATTTAAATATGAACAACAATATGCAAAGGAAATTTTGGAAGTAGATCCGACTTTTTATGCATCCTTAAGTGAGAGTAGTTTAAAAGATAGATTATTTGCCAAACTTGCAATGAAAGGCTGCAAATCACAACGTGATTTTGATTCAAATTTTAATTGTCTACCTGAAGATCTTAAAACTCAAGATTTTTTTATAGAGATAATTACAGAAAATTCCAAGACTTTCCATAATTTGAAGGACCATTTGGATCATGACTCATTGGTACAGGTAATAACACCTAGTTTATATTTTACTTTGGAAGATAGAAGAAAAATGGATCGAGATATTCTCAGAAAAATATTATCAGACAAGTTTTCAAGTGAAGAAATAGAAAAAATATTGAATTGTTTGAGTGAAAATTATCACACACATTTCAAACAGGAATTGTTTGAAAATATTTCAAAAGAAAGAGTGTTAGATTTAATATTGTTGGGTGTACCACTGCCTGAGTTGTTTTACTATCAACACGACGCAGATTTCATATTGAAAATTATTACTCGTACCAAAAAAGGGTATTTTACATCAAGTTTTTTGAAAGATTCTACAATTAATATTTCCAACATTGGTTTGGATTTTATTAAGAACTTGCGCCTTGATAAACAGGGTTTCTCTCACTTGATTCATGCCATTGAAGTGAAAGAACAAGGAAATGAATTGATGCAAAAATGTTCAGATGACATTGAATTGGTAAATGAAATAATTGAAATATATCCTGCTCTATATGAAAATCTATCATGCAATAATTTAAGAAATAATCAAATAATAATTGAAACTTATCTGAATCATACCTACTTTCCTCGATTATCCAAAGATTTAAAACTTGATGATGAATTCCAAGCAAAGCATTTAAAAAAATTAATTGGTTCAGGATACATTACAAAACCAAATAGAGAATTAGTAAGGAGTGGAATATTTAAATCCAAGGATATAGGTTTATTGCTTTATTTGGAAACCAAGGATTTAGACGACAAGGAATTTATGCTTCCAATATTAGAGAAATTTCCTCGTGCTTATTTGAGTTGTAGATCCTTATTAATAGACAAGGAAATAATCAAGATGGTCATTCGTAAATATGATGAAATTTATGAACATCTCGATACTACTTTTCAAAAAGATGAGGAAATATTATCGGTCCTTAATGAACCAAAAAGTTCCATCGATTCAATAATGGCAGAAATTAATGATAATACTTCTGAGTAATAACTTGATAAATTTATTCCGTGATTGTCTTTAAAATTGCAACACAGAGCTCTGGCACATTCTATTTTTATCTGTTGCTGATGACGACATTTTTCAAGTTTACAAAAAATGATATAATGGCGTGGATTTCACTTTAAAACAAGCATGGAAGAGAACTTGATTGAAAACAACAACAAATTGAAAAAAAACAACAACAATACTTCAATCTACTACAATAACTAATATACTAATACACAAAAATGGGTCAATTACTTTCTAACATGATAAAGAACTTATCCCTATTCGAAAACAAACAAGCAAAAATTCTCTTCTTAGGTTTGGATGCAGCTGGTAAAACATCAACACTGTACAAGATTCAATTAGATGAGAATGTCAATACTATACCTACTATTGGTTTCAATGCCGAAGTGATTCAATATAAGAGAGTTCAATTCAGAGTGTTTGATATTGGTGGTCAGGATAAGATTAGAACCTTATGGAGACATTATTATAATGGAACAGATGCTGTGATATTCATTGTCGATTCGAATGATAGAGAGAGATTTGAAGAAGTTTCGGAAACATTGCATAAAGTAATGGAAGATCCATCTCTATCAAATGCCAAGTTATTGGTGTGGGCTAATAAGCAAGATTTACCAAGAGCTGCCAATGTTACAGATCTTGCCAAGATTCTGCAATTAAATTCAATCAAACAAGATTGGTATATACAACCATGTAGCGCAATGAATGGCACTGGTTTATTTGAAGGTTTAGATTGGTTATCTAGCAAATTGTAAATAAAAACAAACAAACTTGTAAGATTCAACATGGTACTTTTTATTCTTTTAGATTGTTTGAATATAATTCTATAATTGATTAATTATCTATTTGTTATTTACATTTATTTACATTATTGTTTGCATGTCTATTATCATTTCATAAAAGTTAAACATTTTTCAATCATTGACTTTTCATCAATTTCACTCTTGGTTGAGCAGTGAATAGTTGCACTCAAACCATTTAATTTTTGTTTAACTGTTTTGACAGTGGCAGCAACTTGAAACTTTTCCTTAACATTGGTTTCGTTTGGACACCATGTGAGAAACATCATTTTAGTTCTGATTCCTTCTCTGATTTGACAAGTTTCGTTTTGAGATGGCATTTCGAAACTTAAATGATAGCAAATGAAACGAGAATTTTTTGGTGGAAGATTAGAAGTCAATTCATCCAATGAAGAGAGTTGAGTCAATTCTTGATCTATTTGAATGGAACTTTCTTGCATTTTCAATACTAGGAACTTTTTATCCTTATTCGAACCCTTTCCCATTCTCATTTCTTCATAGGTTTTGATAATTTCATCACTGAATTGACAATTAAGCATCATTTTTGATTTGTTTTGAGTTGTTTTAGTTGTTTAGCTATTTGTTTTGTTTTTGTTTTTCAAAAGTTTCGAATACAGTAAAGTATTTATAATTAATTTAAAGTGAACTTGTTGCAAATTGAGAGTAGAAAGGAGACAATTTTGAAAGATTGGTGGTGAATCAACCAATAGAATTATTTCGAGTTTGATTGATAAGCGGAAATAATTTGAAAGATAGGCAAGGAACTTGGAACTTGAAATATTTTTAAAGGAAACTGATGGGTAACAAATCTTTGATTATTTTCTCTGCAGTTTTAAGAGATGAAACTTTGAAAATTGATATTTAGCTAGATTAAATATCATTCCTTCAATGATGAAAAAAGAAAAATTCAAATAATAGAGAGATAGAGGCAAAAATTAATCTCGAGTGCCGGGAATTGAACCCGGGTCGCCAGAGTGACAGTCTGGAATGCTACCACTATACCACACCCGATTACATACATGATACAAAGATTCCTTACATGGCCTTAGTGAAAAGCAGTTACTTGAGCTAACCAATAGATATTCTTTTTTGAAATTAGATTGACTGTCAAGCTGTGTTTGTTCGAATAATGATTTCAATTACAAAACGAAACGGGAAGCCTGCCAGGAATATGACGACTATCCCGCTGCAGTCTTTGACTGCATGAACAGTGAAGAGTGGCCAAAGTGAACTTGGGTTGTGGTTTGGAAATTTAGAAATTAAAAAAAGTTCATTTCTTATAGAAACTAATGTTATGTCATGGTATTTTAGAACTTGAAGTACATTAGACATCAGTTAAATAACTAATAGTGTGTTTTGAACCTTCAGAGTAGTTTAAGAAAAGAATAATACCATAATGAAGTGAACATTTAAAACAAACTGAAGGTAAGATAGGTTGTGAAATTGAATTGTATTTGAGGCATGTAGTGTAATTCTAACATCACGATCAGCTCATTTCTCTGAAGTGTTGGTGGCGAAACTCCACCCATGCCTTTTTACCTTTTTGAAGTATACTATACCTCCTAACAATTCATGTTTAGTACTGATCACTTGGCATGATAATGTTGTCTGTTAATTTTCATCATCTGTTTATTAGTTTTCTTAACATGTTATTTGGATTTTTTCTAAAGGTTCAGTTCTGAGAATAATCCGTTAGAGTATCTACACCTCCTTTATTAATAACATGTCTTGGTCTCCCTCCGATGATAAGGTTCTCTTAAAAGTTGAATCCAGATTACTAAATTTCAGACCAAAACACTTGAGACTCGGTCCAATGAGGAACGTAATATTATCTCTGAAGTGCTTTCTGTACCTAGATACCTCTCAAGCGTAGATGCTCTCCTATCACCCAAAAAATCGCAAGAGCCATGATAAATAAGGCGCTCAAGGGTGAAACTACAGATTCCCTCCTGATGTCTCAGAATCCTCTCAACTTAGGATAGAATTTGATGGTCGTTGCTCCCGTAATGACTTAACTGGTCTAAGCGCAAAAGACTACCTAAGAATGTGGCCCTAGAAGTCTACAAAGCACTAGCTATTTATTTGTACAAGAACTCAGTGTGGTACTACCGTCCCAATGCAAGCTTCACTATTAACAGGAAATACCTCTCTGCCTACCACAGGCAGGCCCAGTCTAAACAACCACTTAGCGTCAACCCATAACACTTAAACGCTGATCCGAAACGTACTGGTTGTAGACCTCGTCTCTCAGGTCTTTACGATACAAGAGACGTTAATAAATATTACAATTTATATTTTCTAAAGGTTCTGCCCCACAGTCATTCGCTCTCCTTAACAACATTAAAAAGAAAGAAGAAAAATGGGCACCAGCTCAAGCAAACCTTCAAAAGCCATGAAGAGCAGCAACATAACAGAGAATACCGCATTATATATTAAAATTGAAAATGATTCATCATCCAACAAATCATCAAAGAAGAATAAGAATTCAACTAAGGTTCCGAAGACGAGTGATGATACTAGTAAATCTACTAAGGCGAGTAAAAAGGCACAGGTAACATCTACTGAACATGATTTATATAGTATTAAATTGGATGCTTCTTCTTCGGGTGATGCTGAATATTCAAATCATATTGATCACTTGGCTGGTCCGATATTGTTTTCAGCACCTCACGGATTGCAAGTTTATAGAGGAGGAGCAATTTCAAAGAAAGAAGAGAGTGTTCATGCTAAAGAAATATATACCAATGAAATTTGTCTGCTTCTTTCTTTGCATGTGAAGAAATATTTGGGAATTGAGGGAAGTTTCATCATGTGGAATCCTAAAACTGCAAAAGCAAAGGTTTGTATTTTGTAATTTTAATTGACATTGATCGTATTGCAAATGATAGGATAAGAGTAATTTGGATCCTAATTATCTTGTGGAAAAGCAATTTATGAGTTCACCATTCCACTTATTCCTTCTCAAGATGAAGAATCAATATTCAGGATTTCCTACCTTACATGTTGACCTTCATGGTAAGGCAAATGCAAAAAATGACAGAAATCTCGATATTGGAACTAAACCAATGGAAGTATTATGGAAAGATTTGAAAGGGTTTCAACATTTCAAGAAGGATCTTTGTGATAATATTCAACTTGCTGTTTCAACATGCAATAGGACCTATTCTGGAATGAAACTGACCATTGACAGTGAACCACACTTGCATGGATATTGGGGTGAAAATACAGTGACAACAATAAGTCATCAATCAGTCATGTTAGGAATGCCAGCTCTCCAAATAGAAATACCAATGGAAGTGAGAAAAGATATGATTAGTAATGAGGCTCTTTTGGATGAATTGGCAAAAGCAATTGTGGAAACTTACAAAAAATCTGTTCTTCAACTCTTTAATAAGGACTGGGAACAGGTGGAAACGAAAATTTCAAATGTAATGAAAGAATTATCATCTGATGACCAAGTTAAGAAGCACAACCCAACACATTTTGATGAAATGGCATCTCAAATGATAAGGGAATTTGCTCTTATAGAAAAGAAGCAAAAAGCAAAGAAGCAATAAATAAATTATAGAAAATTGCTTTCCAATACATGTTATTCAGTAAGGTTTTGACATTTTTCGTAGCTAAATAAGTATTTTTGGTTCTTGCCTTAAACCATTCAAAAGTTTGAAAAAAATCGCCCAAACTGAATCGCAACCTTATTTCCTTAAAATATAATCAACATACGATTCTGTGGTGATTAAATTATAATATATTACATTTCATGGAGATATTAGAGAAGAAGAAGAGGATGAGGACGAGTAACAACAGCGGAAGAGGTGTTACTTCTGCTTTTTTAATTGTTGCAATGATGATGATCGTTGTGTTGTTCTGTCTGTTGGGGAATGTAAATGCAACAGAAATATCAAGATTTGAATCGGTGGGTCCTTGTTTGGCCAAATTATTTCTCTCCTTTCATCATCAAACAAAGATACAAGTGAAAGTTGCTTCAACTTCAATTAGTTCTAATATTGAACAATACAAAGCAATGCTCTTTGATAGACCGAATGATTACTTATTGACTTATATTAAAATTGCTGATGGAGTCCTTTTGAAAGATTCACTTCTCCAACAAATAGCTCTTGCCTTTGAAAACAACGATGATAATAAGGAAAATGATTTGATGAAGAAAACATCAAACTTTGACAAGAACTTTGTACCACAATACGGAACAAACAATAGAATCTTTAAGGTACTAGCAACTCCGAAGGTTATTCTCTCTTTGGCTTCATCAAGAATGAAATCATTGAATATTGAGTGGATTAAGAGAGTTCCTTCCTCTCATAGAATTTCAATTCCTATTAGTGATGTTTTATCATTGAGTAGAGCTCCACTCTTGATTGAAACATCTCATGGATTTTCAGAGAGAAAGCTTTCGAATTGGTTAAAGGGAGAAGTAAACAAGCGAGTGAGAACCACTGTAAGGAGTATGTCTGAAAGTGAATTGTCCAGAGTGAGAGGATTAGAATCAACCTTTGAATCCAATACTGAATGGATGAATAAGGAATTGAGCGGAAAGTTTGATTTTTCACTCACTCAACTCCTCCACCCAAGAAATAAGTTATTTTCATTGAGCCCAAATCAATTCATTGAAGTGGAGTCTGAACCAACAAGAAATAGAAGAATGCTTGAGAATTTGAATGTACAATTAGCCCAATCTCTCTATGAACAACTTTCCTCTGATGAGTCAATTATCCATGTTTCCAGAGCTACTGAAACTCAACTCTTCGATGAGGGAATGAACAATGTTGTTCAAGGAGGAAGAATTGAAGAATTAGGATCAACCATTTGGGATAACGGAATTACAGGAAAGAATCAAATTGTTTCCTATATTGATACAGGAATTTCTGTAGAGCACTGTTTATTCTACGATAAGAATGCAACCAACTATACATCCATTAATTTCAATCATAAAAAGGTTGTTGGTATTGAAGGAATGGACATGATTGATACCAATGGACACGGCTCACACGTTGCTGGTATTATTGCTGGTGATTTGTCATCTAGATATCCTTCCAGTTCAATGTCGAAAAGAAATGGTGTGGCCAAGAATGCAAAACTCTATGTGATTGATTTCTCTTCAAGTGCTGATGGTTCTGTGGCATCAAACTATGATTTACAAGGAATGTTAAATAGAGCTTACAATTTGGCTGGCTCTAGAATTCACTCCAACTCTTGGGGATGCAAACCTTCAAGTTACTCTTGCGACTATAACAGAGTTTGTTACCGATTGAAACAGAATGGACAAAGAGGAGCCATAGTCAATGACACTGAATGCATGGCAGAGAAGGGTGTGAAATGTCACCAACAATGTCTTGGCTACAGTGACCAAGCAAGTTTGATGGATCAATTCCTCTATGACCACGATGACATGATTATTGTCCAAGCTTCAGGTAACAGTGGCAATATTTCACTTTTAGAAAGTATTTCAGCTCCAGCAACAGCCAAGAATTTACTCTCTGTCGGAGCAGTTCACAACTATTACACATCCTATTGTAATTCTACCTCAATGAGTGCCTCCAAATGTGAAAGCAAGTATTCAACTTTCAGTATGGGAATGCCTCTCTTCTCAGGAAAAGGTCCAACCATGGATGGAAGAAACAAGCCAGATGTTATGGCCCCAGGTCATTTCATAATGTCTGCAAAGAGTGGATCAACTTGTGACTTTGTGGCATTGAGCGGAACATCAATGTCAACACCAGGTGTCGTATGTTATTTCTATTATTTTTTACTTTAATAAGTTATTGTATTTACTGAATTTGGCACATGGTGTTATTTAGTCGGGTTCGGCTGCACTTGTTAGAGAATATCTCACTGCTAATAATTATGAACGTTTGAGATATTTCAATTTGAATAACACTTTGGGAGAGAATGAAACATTGAGTGTGTCAGGTACTTTGATTAAGGCCTTCCTTATTCACTCTGCACTTCCAGTTGAAGGTGCCATCTATTCATCTCTCACTGATCCTTCCATTGATATTTCAAGTTATTCTTCTCCAAATCCTATTTATGGTTATGGTACAGTTAGTTTGGACACTGTTATGAAATTCTCCAATCCAGATACTCTCAGAGTTTTGAATAGACAACCAATTTCACCAGGACAAAAGAAATCCTATACCTTCCTTTTCGAAGCTAGGAATGCTATCAAGATTACTCTTACATGGTATGATAGAGCTTCTCAATCAGACATGACTTCCAATGTTACCAAATTAATCAATGATTTGGATCTTTCTGTTCATTGTACGGGTGGTGAAGAATATTTAGGGAATGGAATGTTGGACAAGGTTAATACTGTCGAACAGGTGTACTTTACTACTAAGAGTGACATTTGCACTGTAAACGTCATGGCAAATGAAAACAATGTCGGCGATCAAAATTTCAGTATGGTCATTTCAAGCACTTTCAATATCCAACAAACAGAATTGGAAATGGTCCTCAGCAAGGCACCTAAGAATTTCTATTCACTCCTTATTGGTGCCTTCTTGATTGTCCTTCTCAATTTTGTTTTGTAATATTAGTATTTTCACACTAAAAATATAAATCTGGCAAATAAACAAATCTAATTTTTAATCTTCAAATTCGCAAAAGAAAAAATGCAAAAACTAGTTTCCATTGTAACTGGCTCATCGAGAGGAATCGGATTGCACATTGCCAAGTCACTCTCCTGTTTGCATGGACACACAGTTGTCATAACAGGATCCAACAAAGAAAAATTAGAAAATTCTCTGAAGGATATTCACCAACTCGGAGGTGAAGCAGCAGCCATCTGTGTGGATTTATCACAACCTACCTGTTCTTCTACCGTTGAATTATTCATTGATCGGGAGAGTGATAAAATTGTGGAAAAAGTTTCATCACATGATAATAGTGTAAAGATCCATCTTTGGAAATATTTAATTTTGCAATGAGGAATTTTAAGAGAGTGGATCGATTGGTGTGCAATGCAGGAGTGATTGGACCTATTCAGAATATTTCTCAATGGAATCATGAACAAGCTACTGATTTGAATCAAGTTTTTCAAGTCAATCTGATCAGTGTCATGCAATTGTGTCATTACTGTCTTCCAGAATTGAGAAAATCGCCAGATGGTGGAAGAATCCTCTTAGTAAGCAGTGGAGCAGCCACAAGAGCTATCGATGGATGGTCAGCTTACTGCACTTCAAAGGCAGCTCTCAATCATTTTGGAATGTGTCTCGATTTGGAGGAGAGAAAACAAGAGAAACCAGTCGGAATATTGAGTATCAGACCAGGAGTTGTCGATACTCAAATGCAAGAACAAATTAGAACAGTAGGAAATGTGGAATCAATGAAGGATTACAAAAATTTCGTCAACTTGCATGAAAATAAGGAATTGGAAAGTCCTGAAAAGATTGGTGAAATTCTTGCATGCTTGGTGGATCGTTTCCCAATGGAATGGAGTGGTCAATTCAAATCTTATAATAATGAAGAGGTCACTCAATTAATTTCCTCTTTTAGAATTGAAAAGAAATTGTAAAATATTTAATATATCATTAAACGATTCAATCGATTATGAACAAATTTTAAAATAATTTGATTCAAATCTCTCTACTGACCTCTCAACCAATTTCAAAGTTCATTGTAAACTTTCCAAATCAAGAGAAATTAAGAGATAAAAAAAATGAGTCGACGAGCCCATCAAGTTTCCAACTCAAACTTTGTAAGAGCCTTGTTTGTAGGAGCCCTCTACAACGACAGCACCAGACAACAAGATGATGAAGATTTACATGATATGAATCACTCGGGAATTAATAGTGTGTTCGAGTTTAGTTCTGAGGTTAATTTGTATTATGAAATGAAAGTTCCCTCCGAGATGATGATCCAGCCTTTTGATGAGTTGACCATGATGGCTTGGGTTCATCCTACAAAACATGGAGATATTAGAATTTTTGATTCTTCTGTGGCTGGAGAGAATTTTGCAGGCTTTGGTTTTGATTTGCATATGGATAAGGTGAGGTTTCTTGGTTCGAGAAGGGATGATGTTGCTGTGGGGGTCAATTGTGTGAGCAGTCGAAGGAGTGTTAGAATTGGGGAGTGGAATCATTGTTGTGTGACTTTTAAGAAGGGAGAAATGAGATTTTATATTAATGGAGAATTGGACGTGGTGCATTTGAGTGATTTGAAGATGTTGGATCCACCTCTGCAAAATAAGCTCTGTATTGGATATTCTATGATAGGCCACCCAGGTAGTGGCTATTATGAAGGATTTATGAGCCAAATGTCAGTTTGGAATGTAGCTCTTTCTGATAATCATGTAGAAATGTGTTCCAGAAAAAATCTATTGCTTTTACAGGGAAAGGGGCAAACTGATAGTCAATTCTTTTTTGATCCAGAATTATACCATATTTTCAATAATCATGCATTGATTTATTTGCCATACCTGAAGTGGGATAATGATAGAGTGAAGAATTTTGGAATTTCTTCTGAGAATTTGGATATAAAAGCGAACTGTCCTTCAAGAAGATCCAGTAAGAAGATCTTATCAGTGAGCAATGATAGAGCCAAATTCACCTCGAATGAATCTGGTTTTGATTCGAATCAATATCCAGTTTTTAAAGGTGTTTACTGGATGCGAGAATTGCATCAACATTTCTCAAAGGAGAAGAGAGCAATGATTAATCTCCTGCTACTGATTGCCAATAGACATGCTCCATTAATTGGTGATTTGCCAGGTGAGGTATTGGAAGTTGTGTTTTCATTCCTGGAATGAGTTTGGATTACAACAAAACCCAAATTAAAAAAATGAAAGCATGTCAAGCTCGTAATTTTTTAACACAAGCCAAAGCTAAACTTGCCGAGTGTGGTTTTGATATTTTCCAACCATTTCCACTCTCCAGATACAATCAATATTATAAATCACAACAGAAAACTCCAGAAACATTGTTGAAACCGTATGAAAAATTAAAGAAAAATTCAAATTCCGATGATGATTGTGTAGCCATTTTGATTGGAAATACAAAGAATTTATGGCCTAAATTCAAGGGTCATCTTGTGGAGAATCATTTGATTGATAAGAATGGAAATTTACAGCAGAAGAATCCACTCGATTCCTATACGATGGATTGTGTGAAAAAAGTAATGGAAAGTTGTGATGAAAAACAACCAACTTCAACATTTTACAGCCATGAATTTATTGGAAATTATCCGAGAGTCGCCATTCAAGTAGCTGGCCAGGTTTCTGGTTTTGCTTTTTATGAGAATGGAATTTCGTATTTGAGTTTTCATCCAGAGATTGGAAATTGGTTTGCCTATCGAGCTGTAGTATTGTTGGATGATGTAGTGTGCGAAGGTTTGGAGGATTTATTTGTGGATTCATTAGATTCTATGGAAAGAGTTTTTGAATTATCGCTGGAAAGGCATTGCCAATTGACAAATCGAATTATTCCAATCGGTATGAATTTTGGAAAGTTGGTGGAATCTCTAAAGAGCAAACTCTCTGCTCAATTGAACCAAGCTATGAAAGAGAATATGATAGAAGAATGGATTTCACTAAGAGATTGTCCAATTAAATACTTGGAAAATCAGAGCTTCTTTGAATCTTTCATTCAAGACAATTCACTAACTGAATCTGAACAATTATTAATCAAGGAATGGATCACTCAGTTAGTAGAATCGTGGAAATCATACAGATACGAAGAATCTCAAATACTCTATCACTATGTGAAGAAGACTTGCCTCTTGACTGAAGATTCAAAGTGCTGTTAAATATTTCCACTCACCATCAAGGTAGTTCTTCCGAATGTCCAAACACTCGAGATTTGATTTGTTTCCACTTTAACTTGGCGATTCAAAAAGTTATTCCACTCACTCAAAGTTAATAAATCATGAGTAGAAATACAGGAACCAACATTGATCAATGTAAGCATGCCAATAAAATTTGATCTTTGTAAATCACCAATAATCAATCCAACCTTTGCAATATTTCTGCAATTCTGAATTAATTGAGCAATTGACTTGTTGTCTAAATGCTTCAAATATTCCATTTGTAACATGACAATATCGGCTGAACATTTGGAAATATCCAAATATTCACAGCTCAAAAATTCAATCTTACTACTTGTTGCTATTTCCTTGCATTTTCTAATAATTGTTTCATTTGGTTCCAAAACTTTCACATTTTCGAATTGTTCCATCAAGTGATTTAATTTTTCCAATCTCTTCAAAACAGCTCCCAATCCAACTCCCACAATAATCAAACTCTTCTTTTCACTCTTACAACTCTCAATTACTTGACCAAGTGCATCATCCACCAATGAAATATCGCCACCAAGAGTTTCATTCAACCATTCAATATCTTGCTCGTCTTTGCCATGCGCAATACTACATTCCTTTCTCTTTCTGAACATGGAAACTCCATACAGCACAAATCCAGTCACCACCAAGCATGAAACTGTCATCATCCAAGCCAAAACATCACAACCAGCCAAAAGTAAAATTCCACACACAACTCGGAACCACTTGTTAGACAATAAAACCTTTCCCAAACGAGACATGTAGAGAATTGGTCGTTTTGTGAATTGAATTTGAGCAGTGAGTGGATCCATTGTTGGTGATGGCTGTCCAATTTGTGTTGTTGGAGAAGATTCTTTGCTTGTTGTTTGTTCTTTCCGAGAAGATTTTGATTCGGAATTTGTGGTTTTCTCGATCCAAAGTAATAGAGTAGATAGTATAAGAGAGAAAGCATTCCTAACAGATAACTGTTCAGTTTAATACTGAGAAGAAGTGACACCATGATGATGTGTTAATATTTTTTACAATAAATATTTATAATTTAAAGTTAATTTAGAATCAATCCTTTTCCGCTGGATTGTATGAGGAACAGAAGAGGGAGAATGAATCAGTGTCAAATGTGAGTTTCAAATTATCAACCAATTTCAACATTGTGTGATAGGCACCAATGAACATTTCCTTACGAGTCCAATAGTTTTGGAAACAGATACGGAAACCAATTAACATGAGTTGAACAACTTCGTTCAAACTCAAATTGCATTCCTTAGACATCAAGTAGATATTTTCAGAACGATTCATATCGTACAAGGTCAAATCGAGTGAACATGGAGCAACCTTGATACCTCTATCCAAGAATAATCTGACAGCAGATCCAGCAAATTCATTAACTTCCTTTGTGAGATTCTTCAAAGTATCAGTCATGGAAATTTCAATAGGAACACCATTGTCACACAAGTAGCTCATGACAGATGGAGAAGAGTGGATGGAGAAACAACCACTCAATCTAGAAGCACCAACATCATGGATAGCAGGAATGACACTGAGAGGATTATAGAAACCAGCAGAACAGCAAACGTTAATTTGATGATTCTTCAACATGTTGAAAACTGGGATTAATTCAGGGAGGATAGCACCCTTTTCATCATTGTATCCAAAGAAACCAAAACCAACCAAATTCTTCTTATTTCTAATGGTGAGGAGGGAAAGTTCTTTCAATTGGTCCAAACCATCGGAAGTAAAATCACCATAAACAACGAGACCAACTTGAATATTATATCTCTTGCTGCATTCATTGATAGTAACAACCATGACATCCAAAACTTCTTGAGCACTGAGACCTCTCTTGGTGTGCATAGTTGGTCTCACTTGTAATTCAAGATAAAAGACATGCTCAGCAGCAGCCTTTTCTAAAATATCTTCACAACCATGAATAATTTGACTCTTAGTTTGTAAGAACAAGGACATGACTTGAATGGCACGAGCAATTGTTGACTTGTCATGCTTGGCTCCAGGTGGTCTAATAAGACATTCCAATTCATTCTTGGAGTGAATTCTTCCCAATCCTAATAATTCCAATTCCAAATTGAGGAAATCGGTAGAGTATTCATCGTGTGACAAGTTTGTCCACAAAGTATCAACAGAAACTGAACCATTGAAACGACAGTTAACATCAGCCTTTGGAATGGAATTGATGAATTGTCTGATGGTTTCATTCTTGTAGAGATCATAGTCAACTGGGAGAATTTCAGCTCTATTGTTGAAATCAAAGCCCAAATCAACAGCAGACTTGGCAGAGAAACTACTTGTCAAGTCGTATCCTTCACTGGAGAGGATTTCTTGAATGGTATGGAGAGCATCAGCACGGAGTCTGTTCTTAATAGACAAGTCCAAGAATGCAGAACGGAAACCATAATCAATGAGTTTGACAATTTCCTTAACATCAAATCCGAATTGGTTTTGAATTAACAAGTATTCTTCAGAGAGTGTTACATTACTAACAGTAGTATTATCAGTACATGGAACAAGTACAATACCATAATCAAAGAATTCACGAACTGGATGTTCTTCGAATTTTTGAATGGCCTTAGTTTGCAAGTTACTGGTGATACAAATTTCGATTGGAATTCTGTGATTGGCAACATATTGAGTGAGGTCTGGATTTTCCTTCAAGTGAGTTCCGTGACCAATACGATTAGCACCACAATAACGAATTGAATCTTGAATAGATTCCCAACCACTGGCTTCACCAGAGTGAAGAGTGCAGTTCAACATTTTACGATGAACTAATTCAAATGCAGAAGCATGGTTCTTTGAGGAGAAGCCATTTTCTGGCCCAGCCAAGTCAAAGGCACAGACACCACGGTCTCTGTAACGCCAAGCAATTTCTGCAAGTTGCAAGGTAATCTTGCTATCCATTTGTCTCATACCT